ACAAGGTCTTGCTGTGTCACCCAGGCTGGAGTGCAGTGGTGCGATCATAGCTCACTGCAGCCTCGACCTCCCAGGCTCAAGCGATCCTCCGGCCTCAGCCTCCTGAGTAGCTGGGACTGTAGGTATGCTTCACAAGCCAGGCTAATTGTTGCCCAAGCTGGAGTACAATGGTACGATCTTGGCTCACTGTAACCTCCGCCTCCCAGATTCAAGAGAACTCCTGCCTCAGTCTCTCAAGTAGCTGGGATTACACGCACATGCCACCATGCCCAGCTAATTTTTTTGTGTTTTTAGTAGAGATGGGGGTTTCACCATGTTGGTCAGGCTGGTCTCGAACTCCTGACCTCAGGTGATCCACCCGTCACAGCCTCCCAAAGTGCTGGCATTACAGGCGTGAGCCACTGAGCCCAGCTCCTTTGTCCACCTTGGTTGAATGTCAGGGGTATTTGTCTCCTACCACAGTAGAAACTTCCTGCAGACAAACCCCTGAGCTGAATCTTCTTTGGGGCCCTAACACCCATCTGGACAGGTCAGAGGACAGGCAGTGAATGTTTGCATGAGTGACAGAGGCACTGAGTATGTACCCATGTGTCATGTGTGTTTCTGCTCACCTTCTCCATGCTCGTCTGTGTACTGGAAGGCCTGGACCAGCCGCAGAGCCTCATCCACGGAGCGTCCCACAGGCAAATCATTAACAGTGATCTGGCGAAGGACACCCTTGCCATCGATGATAAATAGGCCCCTGAAGACATCAGGGTTCCCAGTAAGGAGCTGGGAGCTCCCACTGCCAGAGACAAGGAAGGGACTACCAACCACCCGCTGCTAGCCACAGGGCTGGGGGCAGAGAAGACATTGTACAGGAGTGGTTCCAGCTCCACAGGAATGGGGGGTCTCCATGAGCCGGGCTGAGGGTCCCACAGTACCTGTAGGCAATGCCTTCATCTGTTTTCAGCACGCCGTAATCCTCAGACAAGCGTCTGGTCACGTCAGCAAGCAGGGGGATGTTCAGGGGGCCCAAGCCTCCTTCCTTCCGGGGGGTGTTGATCCTGGGAGTAGAGGAGATAGAGTTGGGGCCTCAGGATGCCTGGTACAGCCGGGTCCTCACCCTGTGGGCGCAATGTGATAAGCACTGGAGGCCAAAGATAAGGGTCTTTAAAGTAGGCTGCTGGGAGCCTCACCCACCCCACCCTGGGTTGGGTACAAGGACTTCCCACAGCTGGGAAGACTAAGCTTGAGAGGCCACGCTCCAGCTAAGTGGCTTCACATGTGCTTGTAACTTGCAGCATCACCCAGGAGAGAGCCCGTGTTAAGAGTCCCCGTCCTCCTCTAGCTGTGTCATGGGGTACAGCTCTTCACTTAGGTGAACCCGAGTTTTCATCTTTATGAAATAGGGCAGCACAGCCTCCCTCCTGGGAACTAGTAGATAGAGCAGATAAAGTTGCATCTGAGTTGCATCTGCAACTCTATGTGCCAAACAACTAGCTCAACTAGCTGCCAAATGCTAATTACTGCCATCCTTAAAAACTTGGGCGGCAATATTTCCATTATTTTCAAGATGGGGAAACGCAGGTTCCAGAGATTGAGCAATGGTCATGAAGCCACATAGCTCGGACCCGAGGGTGTGAGCTTAGCTGCAACCTCCTTCTCTGGCCCCTGCTCATACCAAGCCAGGTGGGTGAACTGAGAGTCCACCGAGACGCCCAGCACTTCGCAGCCCAGCTTGCGGAAGTCCTCGGCACGGTTGCTGAACGCGATGATCTCCGTGGGGCACACAAAAGTGAAGTCCAGAGGGTAGAAAAAGAGGACCACGTACTTCCCTGGGGAGGAGGGACCAAGAGGAGTTAGGGCCCAGCCTCTCTCATGCACGGCCCCG